CATTTTGGGACATCAGGAAGAATGCAATTAAATTCAAGACTCTCCACACAGACATTTTAGAATTAATTAAATTGTAATTCAGTAGTTTAGAATTTTTGAATCAACTCTTACATTTCGGGTCAATTTTTGGTAAAATAGATTAGACCCAAAAGTAAAGGGGAGTGACTTGGCACCTAGGGTTTTTCTTTGTGTGGACCCCATCTCATTAAAAGAGACACATGACCTCTAAGGCAACTGCCACCCAAGGGAAGAGCTGTGGAGCTGGATGGGGTAGGGTGTGCTCGAGCCGCCACACTTAGTTTTTTTCTTTGCCTGAGAACGTTTGGATTTAGAGGAAAAAAATTCTATCAATGAAGGAGCAATGATGTGCACGGTATCCAGTAGATGGCACGGTGGTTCACAGGAAGGAGAAGTGCTGCACGGAGAGGCGACACTAGTTTCATCTTGACGCTGTTACGGTTCAGCGGATGATGGAATCTTAGAAGCACATTTTTTTTATGGAAGCGGTGCAGCAAGACACGGTGGAGAGGAAGGCACACGCTGATTTATTGCAGCATAAGCAAGCAGAGCCATTCACATTTTTTTTAGCTTAAATATGCAGTGCATTCTAATGGAGAAAGTGGTGGTGTCACGGCCTGGTTGGGAGAAGCACACTTTCTTTTCTCTTAGAAGCTCTGATTTTCTTTTCATTTAGTGAAGTGTGCAGCAGCCACCGAGAAGGGAGGCACATTTTTCGTTTAAATAGAAGGATGAAAGGGCAGTCGCCAAGAGGAGGAAGGCAATTCATTTTGGCTCAAAAGAAAGCAGCTCTCGGTTGCATTTTTAATTGGAAAAAAATGGCATTGGTGTCACGGCTGGTAGAAGGAAAGTGGCTAAGCTTTTGGAGAATCTTTTCTTTGAGAAATGAAGAAGTGATTAGGTGGGGCACGGTGCATTGGAGATTCACCTCTAGAGTGGAAGCATGGTGAGGAATGAAATTTTAATTTTAAAAGTGGTGTGCACGGATACCAGCAAAAGGAGAGCTCCAAATTTTGATGCAATGTTCAATTAAGTATTAGCTAAGCACACTCTTTTTTTGCTAGCTTTCTTCCAAAGTGCATTTTATATGTTAGTTCAATATTACAATTTAAGGTCTTGAATGAGTTTTCTTATTTAATTATTGCATTACAATTAGTTTAGGCACCTTGGTAATTGAATGTTTTATTTTAGTGTTTTCATTTACCTTAATACTGTTCATTGTGTTCAGTTGTGGTAATTTAATTGTGATGTTAGCTTAAGTGACCAATTGTTTTAATTTTGTGTTTACAATTGTGTTTTAATTTCCTGCTCCTTCTACTCATGCTCCTGATCCTTTTTCCTGCTCCTGCTCCTTCCCCTTCCCTTGCTTCTGCTCCTGTCGTGCTCCTACTCCTTTTCCTTCTCCTGTCGTGCTCCTACTCCTTTTCCTTCTCCTTCTCCTTCTCCTTCTCCTTCTCCATCTCCTGCTTCTTCTCCTTCTCCTTCTCCTCCTTCTTTTTCTACTCCTTTTTCTACTCATGCTCTTTCTCCTCCTCCTTCTCCTTCTCCTTCTCCTTCTTCTGCTCTTGCTCTTGCTCTTGCTCCTGCTCTTGCTCTTGCCCTCGCTCTTCTCCTGCTCTTGCTTCTGCACTTGCTCCCGCTTATGCTCCTGCTCCTTCTTCTGCTCTTGCTCCTACTCTTCTCCTTCTTCTTCTCCTGCTCCTTCTCCTGCTTCTGCTCGCACTCCTTCTCCTTCTCCTTCTCCTTCTCTTGCTCTTGTGCCTGCTCCTTTTCCTTCTCCTTCTCCTTTTCCTTCTCCTTCTCCTTTTCCTGCTCTTGCTGCTCCTGCTCCTACTCCTACTCCTGCTGCTTTTGCTCCGGCTCCTTCTCGTTCTCGTTCTCTTGCTCCTTCTCCTTCTCCTATTCTTTTTTCTACTCCTTTTTATACTTCTGCTCCTGTTCCTTCTCCTTCTCCTTCTCCTTCTCCTGCTCCTGCTCTTACTATTGCTCTTGCTCTGTACTTCGTTCTGCTCCTGCTCCTACTCCTGCTCCTGCTCGTTCCCTTGCTCCTCCTCCTGCTCCTGCTCGTTCTCTTGCACCTGCTTCTTGCACCTGCTTCTGCTTCTGTCCCTGCTCCTGCTCCTGTTCCTACTCCTTCTCCAGCTCCTGCTCCTTCTCCTTCTCCTTCTCCTTCTCCTTCTCTTGCTCCTACTCTTGATCCTGCTCCTATTCCTACTCCTTCTCTTTCTACTACTACTGTTCCTTCTCCTTCTACTACTACTGTTCCTTCTCCTTCTACTACTACTGTTCCTTCTCCTTCTCTTGCTCTTGCTCCTGCTCCTGCGACTTCTCCTGCTTCTGCTCTTGCTCCTGCTTTTGCTCTTTCTTCTGCTCCTGCTTCTGCTCCTGCTCCTTTTCCTGCTCCTTCTCCTTCTCTTGCTCTTGCGTCTGCTCCTTTTCCGTCTCCTTCTCCTGCTTTTGCTCCTTCTCGTTCTCTTGCTCCTTCTCCTTCAACCTCTCATTTTCCTTCTCCTTCTCCTACTCTTTTTTCTACCCCTTTTTATACTCTTGCTCCTGCTCCTTCTTCTACTCTTGCTCTTGCTCCTGCACTTGGTTCTGCTGCTCCTGCTCCTTCTATTTCTCCTGCTCCTGCCCGTTCTCTTGCTCCTGCTCCAGCTCCTGCTCTTGCTTCTGCTTCTGTTCATGCTCTTGCTCTTGCTCCTGTTCCTACTCCTTCTCCTTCTCCTTCTCTTTCTCCTCCTCCTCCTCCTGCTCCTTCTCCTGCTCCTTCTCCTCTTGCTCTTGCACTTGCTCTTCTCCTGCTCTTGCTTCTGCACTTGCTCTCGCTTAAGCTCCTGCTCCTTCTGCTCCTTCTCCTGCTTTTACTCCTGCTCCTGCTCCTGCTCTTACTCCTGCTCCTGCTTCTACTCTTCTTCTTCTTCTCCTGCTCCTCCTCCTGCTTTTGCTCATGCTCCTTCTCCTTCTCCTACTCCTACTCCTGCTCTTGCGCCTGCTCCTTTTCCTTCTCCTTCTCCTTTTCCTTTTCCTGCTCCTACTCCTACTCCTACTCCTACTCCTGCTCGTGCTCGTGCTCCTGCTCATGCTCCTGCTCGTGCTCCTGCTTCTACTCCTGCTCTTGCTCCTTTTTCTGCTCCTACTCCTTCTCCTTCTCCTGCTCCTGCTCCCTTTGCTCCGGCTCCTTCTCGTTCTCTTGGTCCTTCTCCTTCTCCTTCTCCTACTCTTTTTTCTACTCCATTTTATACTTCTGCTCCGGTTCCTTCTCCTGCTCTTACTCTTGCTCCTGCACTTCGTTCTGCTCCTACTCCTTCTCCTGCTCCTACTCCTGCTCCTTCTCTTTCTCTTTCTCTTTCTCTTTCTCCTGCTCCTGCTCGTACTCGTTCTCTTGCTCCTGCCCATTCTCTTGCTTTTGCTCCTGCTCTTGCTTCTGCTTCTGTTCATGCTCTTGCTCCTGCTCCTGTTCCTACTCCTTCTCCTTCTCCTTCTCTTTCTCCAGCTCTTGCTCCTTCTCCTTCTCCTTCTCCTTCTCCTTCTCTTGCTCCTGCTTTTGCTCCTGCTCCTATTGCTGCTCCTACTCCTTCTACTACTACTGCTCCTGCTCCTACTCCTTCTCCTTCTCCTGGTCCTGCTCCTGCTCTTGCTCCTTCTCTTGTTCTTGTTCTTGCTCCTGCTTTTGCTCCTTCTCGTGCTCTTGCTTCTACTCTTGCTCTCGCTCCTTTTCCTACTCCTGCTCCTTCTCTTGCTTCTACTCCTTCTCCTTCTCCTT